TACATTGCTTTGCTGATTTAAAACCTCCATCATGGAACGTATTCATTGAACATTTTCATATATACGGACATTTAGCCAGCAGAACTTCACTAACAGGTTCCATTATGAGGAGCCCCCGGTGGAACAGCGGTAAGTCTTAGGATTTACGATGCTATAATCAGGGATTCGATTCCTCTCGGTAGACACAGCAGATAGCCAGATGTGGCTTTGCTATAAGAAAACGCACATGCACACATTATGAGGAATACTGCCCACACCATGACAGTCTTTCGTAGTCGCCACAACATATAGTTGGATTTTGCATCTGCTCTCCTCCAAATCCTTATTCGCCTATTAATTTCAAATTGGCTTTCATTACTTCAACTATATTTCACAAATAATTGTAAAGTTCCAACTTTAACGGGTTTAAACCAAGCAGATCATTATTGAAACACCCTTAGTGACAATATACAATTTGCAAATTCCAAACTTTCCAAAACACCTACACTCGTGGATAGAACTCTGCTCAAATCTCATAGCTGGCCGCATATAATAAATAAAGATCACAATAAACTTACTGCAAGGACTATTCCAGACACATTTTCATAATCCTTACAAGTGAGTGTTTGTTGTGCTTCGACAGAATTTTTCGGATTACAAGAACGTCTTTCTTTATCTGTTCTACCATTAAGTTCGTGAAACCACTTAAGTCCGACAACTCGAGGTGTAATCAAGTATTGTCCGCCTTTTGTGACTATTCTTTTTATCGATTAGCCTAAAAATGTTCAGGAACGTATATTTTATCCTCTTTCAAATTCACGCAATTCATGAAGTGTTGGTGTTCCCTGGTGGCTCAATGGTAAGCTTGAGATCTTATAACGCTATAATTCGAGGTTCGATATTCCCGCAGTAGACACAGCACAGATAACTCATCGTGTAGCTTTGCGCTAAAATAACAAAGATAAACTTTGGCACTTTAGAACAGAAACTTTGACGCATCTAACTTCAAGCCTTTATCTACTGTGTCACCGAGTTCTAGAGCATGCCGTGTGAGTAGTGTCACATGTTCAAGAGGTGTACCTTTACATTTATCAGAGCGGGTTATGTACACTTTGTTACTTGGTTTATACCGAAGATATGAGGTATAAATGATAAAAACAAATCATTTTAAGTCTTTCACATAAGAAAAGGAAAATTGATTCGAGTAAACCAATTAATGTTTTTTGGGTTTTTTAATTTAACGTTTGAGATTTTTTTTCGACCAATCCGGGCATCATAATTTTTCGAGAGGAATCTGTGCAGATAATTTTTTATTGAAAAATAAATTAGTAGAGTTGTGAAAATTAGTGAAAAGAAGTATATAAAAATAGTTCATTTTTCATCTGAAAACGTGCTCAAAACAGTTTGTTAAAATTCATAAGATAGTAAAATTGCTCTTATAATACATAACTTTAATATTGTAGCTGAGTTTAAAAGTGAGATTTTGGTGTTCATATTGGCTACTAGCAATGCCAACGATTGATATTCGATAGACCCAGTCATATCTTTAAGTACGTAATTTTTTTTTTATCGCCTCTCGTGGATAGGCGGTAAGCTAAAAGGTTTATAATGCTTAAGTTCGGGGTTCAATCTTTGCAACAGGTACAGCACAGGTGATCGAGTGTACACCTTTACGCTTAACAACAAACTAATTATTTCACAAAAATATTATTTTTATTATAATTATTTCATAAATATTTACAATAACATTCAATAGATGGCAGGGCAATATTCCGCCATAGACACTAATGTGTGATATTTACTAGAATCGCGTTTCATTACTTCGGTCTAACAACTTCCACTTACAGTCTCTCCAGGAGCTAAAATAGAACGTTTCGTCAAGTGTCTAATGAGAATGACACTTTGTCAGCGGTCTTTGGTTGGGCATACTGGTTATTTACTGTAGCTTATACTTTTCTATTGGAGTTAAAATAGTTTTTCGTCAATAGCCTAATGAACTTACAAGTACACAGCGTGGTCACAAGTAAATAGACACCACCTTTTCAGAAAAAATGAAAATTTTCACTCATACTCACATGAATTGATATATTTATAATCTAATTAATATCTAGTACACTGAGTGGTCACAAGTAAAGAGACACCTAATTTTTCGTCATTTAACTGAATTATGCTAACTAATTTGTGTTCACAGAGCACTATATAAATGAAAATGGTCTGCACACTAATTATCTTGTGCTACAACATGCTTAGAACTCAAGGTTCTCTCGAACTGTCAGATTTTGTAAGAGGAAGGATAGTTGGTCAAGCAGATGGTGGAATAAGTCAGCGGCAAATTTTGCAGAATTTGGGAATCCCGCTTTCGACAGTCAACAGAATCATCGTGCAGTTCAGGAAACACGGCAAGGAAACAACTGAGCAGTGTCCGGGTCGTCCTGATCCATCAGAGAGGACAAAAAGGGCTGTCAAGAGGAGCATCGAAATGGATCTCAGATTAACGACTGCAGAAGTGACCAAAGTTGGTGGGATGAGCTCGGAATCTGTTCAACGGATTCTCCATAGATTGGGTTATCGTTGCAGAGCAGCTAGACGGAAGCCCTTATTAAGACCTGCCAACATAGTCAGACGAAAGAAGTGGGTAAGGGATATGATGGCCAAGCCTCTGGACTTTTGGAATACCGTATTGTTCTCAGACGAATCACAATTCGTTCAATTTTCGGACAGTGGAAGGATATGGGTCTGGATAATGCCTCATCAAGAGTTTTGGCTCAACAGATTGCAGCCAACTGTGAAGCATGGTGGTTTGAGCGTGATGGTTTGGGGAGCTGTTTGGGTTGGTGGGAGATCGAGCTTAGTGGAGTGCGTTGGCAACATAAATTTTGCGAAATACGTCGAAATATTGGAGGAAGGACTCTTGCCACCTTATTCCTCGGGTTTCTTGGACAATAACACAACGTTATTCCAGGAATATGGAGCACCGTGTCACACTGCTAGAAACACCCAAAAGTGGCAGGAAGAAAATGGTATCCAGAAGTTGCCCTGTCGAGCCAATCTCCTGACATGAACCCCATCGAAAACCTCTAGGCCATACTCGACCGGCAAGTCAAGAAACAACC